TGTCTAGAGTTTGTCCTTGTGATTTCTTAATTGTCATCATAAATGCTGGCATCATGGGAAACTGTCTTCGAATTGATTTAAATGGGAGACCAATGTCAGACAGGGACAAATCAATTCTTGGAATCAGAACAACCTCTCCTTCCTCAGATCCTATTAATACTTCAGTTTTAATTATGTTAGGTCACAAATTTTTGATGATAAATCTAGTACCATTACAAAGACTCTATTTACTATTAAGATTTCTCAGTAGCATAATGATTGCACCTACTTTCAATTTTAATTTATGACATGGCATTCCTGAAGGTGTAATACTATTAAGAAATTAGATGGGAAAATTTCCCTTTTTTGCATCATCCGTTGAATTGATAGAATCATCACTCAAATTGTGAAAATCTCCATCAAATATATCCAAAATTTCTTTATTTAATTTATAAATGTGCTCATTTTTAGGATAAAGAATTGCACATTTAGGTATATTTTTAACATTACCTATAGATATAATATTTCCAAAGGTAGCTTCAATAATAGATCCATTACAAATCATTTCATGGTTTTCCTAAATGAAAACTGCTATCAAGTTTGCCATCTCCAAGTTTTACAAACCATCTTATCTAATAAAGAAGAAATATGCAAATTACCATCACTCTATCACAAAATGGCGGCACCCATAGCCACAAGATGGCGGTGCCCAGTCCTCTCAGCCCCGCCGGAGTCCCCCAGTCCGGGGAGGGGGGTGTGTGGTGTAGCCGTTGAGAGCAGGAAACATAACATGAGAGGCCTGGCAGAATGCTTGCTTTGTCACCACGGTGATGAGGTAAGCATTCCATCTCAGCCATGGAGGGCCTCTGGGCAGCAGGCATGGAGCAGCTGGGGTGGAGGGTGGGGGTGGGGGTGGGGAAGGGAGACAAGGCAAGCACTGCACCCGCCCACAGATGGGCTTCTGGCCATGGAGGGTGTGGAACGTTTGTGTTGTTGCCCCAGCAATGAGGCAAGCATTCTGTGCCCAACTGTGGATGGGTCTCTGGCCAGGGAGGGCAGTTTGGGGCCATGAGGCTGGCTGGGGAGGAAAGTTGGGGGCCATGAGGCTGGCAGGGAAGGGCATTTGGGGGTGATCAGGCCGGCAGGCAGAATGGTTAGGGGCAATCGGGCAGGCAGGCAGGTGACCGTTAGGAGCCAGTGGTCCTGGATTGCAAGAGGGATGGATGTCTGATAGCTGGTTTGGCCCAATCCCACAGGGACATCCCTCAGCAGTCAGACATCCCTGAGGGGTCCCAGATTAGAGAGGGCGAAGTAGGCTGGGCTGAGGGACAATTACCCTGTGCACGAATTTCATGCACCGGGTCACTAGTTCACTATAAGCAGAATCCTCTGATCTGCTGACCAATGGCCAATTCCGTGAGGAATGGGTCTCCCTCCTCTCCTTCTGTCAGGGTCAGGGGTGCGGGTGAATGGGATTTGGGGCTGTCAGAGTGCTGACAGCAAGGTCTGGCTCAGGGCTCATCATAGCTAACAGCTGGTGGTCTGATCATTAGTCGTTCTGGTCGTTACACCATAATGGTTGCTTGGGCTTTTATTACATAGGCTAGCTCCAAACTGGAAACAATTTGGTTAACCAAATCCTGCTATATCCAAGCCATGGAATATCACTGAGCAGTAAAAAAGAATAAACTATTAATAACACACAACTTGAAAGGATCTCAAGGGAATTAATTAGGTTAGGTGAAGGAATCCAAACTCTAGAGGTTAAGTATTTATTATGTGATTCCCTTTACATAGCATCCTTGAAATGAAAAAAACTATAGTTGTGAGACAGATTAGTGGTTTTCGGGGATTAGATAAGAGGGAGGGAGGTGGCTGAGGCTATAAAAGAAAGCATAAGGGGTCCTGGTGACAAACTTCTGTACCTTGACTGCGGTAGTGGTCACCCAATACTGCATAGACATAAATACACACACAGACACACATACACAAGTACAAGTCAAACTGGAGAAAATTTGAATAAGACCAGTGGATTATATCAATCTCTATATCCTGGTTGAGTATTTATTAGTTATGCAAGATTTTACCAGTGGAGGGAAATGGGTGAAGAGTATATGAGATCTGTCTCATTTCTTACAAATGCATGTGAATCTACAATTATCCTATATAATAAAAGCCTAACATGCAAATTGACCAAACAGCAGAACAACCAGTCGCTATGATAGGCACTGACAACCAGGGGGCAGACGCTCAACGTAGGAACTGCCCCTGGTCTGCAGGCCCCAGGCCAGCCAAGGCGGGTGCCAGCGGGGGCCTTCAGATCACCTTTCCAGTTGCCCCACATATCGTTCCTGATTGCCGACCAGGCCTAGGGACCCTACCCAGGCACAAATTTCATGCATCGGGTCTCTAGTCTCAAAATAAAAAATCCAGTCCTGGCTGGTGTGGCTCAGTTGATTGCACCAAAAGGTCGTGGGTTTGATCCCTGGTAAGGGCATGTATAGGAGGCAACCAGTCAATGTTTCTCTTTCTCTCTCTCCCTCCCTGTCTTAAAAAAAACCCCAAAACTGCCGAAACAGGTTTGGCTCAGTGGATAGAGCATCAGCCTGCAGACCAAAAGGTCCCAGGTTCAATTCCGGTCAAGGGCATGTACATTGGTTGCGGGCACATTCCCGGTGGGGGATGTGCAGGAGGCAGCTGGTCGATGTATCTCTCTCATTGATGTTTCTAGCTCTCTATCTCTCTCCCTTTCTCTCTGTGAAAAATCAATAAAATATATTTAAAAACAAACAAACAAACAAACAAACAAACAAACAAACAAACAAAACCAAAACTTCAGCAGATATAAAAGACTGGTATTGCTGACAAAAATGCATGTAACCTGGATTTAATAATGAAGGAATAGTAGGCATCAGACAAACTCATAAAAAACTGGCCTATTCTAATAATAAATGTGTAATATGCTAAGTGTCCAACCAATTGGTCAACAAGGGGCAGATGCTCCAACTGGTAAATTAGCTTGCTTCTGGGGACATGCCCTGGAGCCTTCCCACAGTCACTTCCTGGCTGACCGGCCCAGAGAGGCCCCAATTGGGGCTACTGGCCAACCTTCCATGGTCCCTACCAGCTGGCCAGCCCCCATTGGCCCTGATCGAGACTGGGTGAGATGGCCCTGATTGGCCCTAATTATTGGCCAGGCAGAGGGACCCCACCTGTGCACGAATTTGTGCACTGGGCCTCTAGTAACTCTTCATAAGTGTCAATGTCATGACATAGAAAAAGAGACATGACTAGTGCATACAACATACCGTCTGATAGACTAATCCAGGGCTTTCTTTGCTATAAAAGACATTATTAAGACAATTTTACAAAACTTAGAAAAGACCTATAGTATTATATTAAAAAGTACATAATGAAGTATTTAAAAGTTAAGGGTCACCATATCCTAAACTTACTCTCAAATGGTAAAAAAAAGAATATACACATAGAAAAGGAAATATGGTAAAATGTTAATAGCTGTAGAATCTGAGTAAGGGAATATTTTAGACTATTTTTGCAATTTTTCTGTAAGTCTAAAATTATAAATGAAAATTATAATAAAAAATGTTAAAGGGGGCCGAAACCGGTTTGGCTCAGTGGTAGAGCGTCGGTCTGCGGACTGAAAGGTCCCATGTTCGATTCTGGTCAAGAGCATGTACCTTGGTTGTGGGTACATCCCCGGTAGGGGGTGTGCAAGAGGCAACTGGTCGATGTTTCTCTTTCATAGACGTTTCTAGCTCTCTATCTCTCCCTTCCTCTCTGTAAAAAAATCAATAAAATATATATTTTTAAAAAATGTATCACCGAGACCGTTTGGCTCAATGGATAGAGCGTCGGCTTGGGGACTGAAAGGTCCCAGGTTCAATTCTGGTCAAGGGCATGTACCTTGGTTGCGGGCATATCCCCAGTATCCCCAGTAGGGGGTGTGCAAGAGGCAGCTGATCGATGACTCTCTCATCGATGTTTCTAACTCTCTATCTCTCTCCCTTCCTCTCTGTACAAAATCAATAAAATATATTTTAAAAAAAATGTTAAAGGGGTACAAAATACTACACAGAGCCTGGTAGATAAACATGCAATAAAGTAGTTTTCAGATATTTTATACTGATTTTCAGATGAAGAAACAAGTTGAGACACTAAATAAACTGTCAGGAGGAACTATGGCAAATGGGTGATAAGGCCAGGATCTAAAGTTATACCTGTTCCAACCAGTCTGTGCTCTTCTCCCTGGAATGAGGAAGGATGGAAATTTCACCCCTCCCTCCCACCTGAGGATTTGCATGGACTGTTTAAGGAGAGGATGACGTTATATAAAAATTGCCTTCATACCATTCTCCAAGCAATTCACTTCTTAGTTTCCTATGAGAAAAGCCTTAAGACTGTCAGGGACTTAACACCTTGAACTCAACTCCCAGGGAGGATATTTTGCTGACAGCACATCAAACGAATCAAGTCACAAATGTACTGAATCCCCTGTGTGGGGCTCCCCTACAAGCAGCACCCTGTCCTCCTGGGTCACTGTTCACCCATCTGAAGTCCCCCAAGCACTCAGGCTGCGCTGGTCCTTGGGATACCTCGGCTGGCTACCGTGATGCAGCTCTTCTATCCATCCTTCCCCCTCTCACCAGCACCCACGGCTAAGCATAGCCAGGGTAGATACATTATTTTTAATAGTTTTATATTTTTTTGAATAGATAATAAGCACAGTTCAAAATTCTCATGGGAAAAATGTGTATCATGAAAAGTTTCCCTCATCCACTCTCCATTCCGCTCCCTGATAACCAGTGCTACCAGCTTAAATATGCAACTTTCTGTATTTCTTCATGTTACTAGAATTAGCTAGATCACATTATGATATTAAGCTAGCCATCTACCTAACACACTCCAAGTGATCACTATAATTTAGTAATTTCCCCATGTAGGCAGATATTTACAAACTCCTTGGCCGGTAGGCATCAATCACTAGAGTACTGGCAGCTCACCTGGTTCCTGTCGCGTGCATTTGTGTATCTGATCTTCTGAATGAAGTAGAATATGAGCCATGCTGAAGAAATAATCATCAAAACAATAAAGGATATTGACACGAAGACTAGCGAGCCTCGGCTGAAGTTCTTTGGTGGCATTCGCGTCCCAACAGCTATTGTCATTTGTACGGAGATGTTTTTCTCCAGATAACTCAAAATATCCTTACCCCTCAGTTCTGTAATCATGACAGCAATAATATCTCCAGTGCCTGTAACATAAAATAAATACATATACATTTTAAAATTACAGGAACATCAAATATATAAAAATGCTTAGAAAAACTATACTACAATTTCTGCTAAAAGCAAGAGTTTTCAGATTCAACTTTTTAAAGGAAATGAAGTTACAGTTGGATATATGTATGCTGGCACCACTCGAGAAGAGGAATTTGTTCTTCGTACTTAAGACTTAGATTTAAAGCATAAACAAATGCAGTATTAAGAGCCATATTAACTTGTATTACAACTATATTTTTAAAAAGTTTATCAGTCAAATGTGAAAACAGACAATATGAAACGTAATAAAATCACAGCTTAGTTTTCTTTGTTAAATGTTTTCCATCTTAAACTGCTCTTTAGGAAGTCCAAATCCTTAAAAAAAGGAGAAAAATGCTGTTATTTATAATACAAAAATTGGTACTTTTTAATACTAATCATTCTTAGAAACATTGATGTGACACCCGTTGTGTATAGAACTAGTACAAGAAATAGAAATACAGGAGGTGCAGCTGTAAAATAGCACTGAGTGTTAGGACACAAATCTGATAACAATTAACAACAGCAAAATGCCAAATGGCGGTATCTTTTATTAAGAAGAGTTGAGCCTGGCTGGCATGGGTCAGTGGTTGAGCATTGACCTATGAACCAGGAGGTCTCAGTTTGATACCTGGTCAAGGCACATGCCTGGGTTGCAGGCTCAATCCCCAGTACGGTGTGTAGGAGACAGCCAATCGATGATTCTCTCTCATCATTGATGTCTCTATCTCTTTCTCCCTCTTCCTTCCTCTAAAACCAATAAAATATATATATATATATATATATATATATATATATATATATATATATTTTAAAAAGTTCCTAAGTCCAGCCGAAGCCAGTTTGGCTCAGTGGTAGAGTGTCGGTCTGTGGACTGAAAGGTCCCAGGTTCGATTCCGGGCAAGGGCATGTACATTGGTTGCGGGCACATCCCCGGTAGGGGGTGTAAAGAGGCAGCTGGTCGATGTTTCTCTCTCATTGACATTTCTAGCTCTCTATCTCTCTCCCTTCCTCTCTGTAAAAAATCAATAAAATATATTTTAAATAAATAAATAAATAAATAAATAAATAAATAAATAAATAAATAAATAATAAAAAGTTCCTAAGTCCAGACTGACTGGAGAAAGGCTGCTTTCTAGTTTTCCCCTGAACCCTGATGGAAATCAAAGTCTTTCTGAGATAAATCCAACCTTCAACACTCTGGACAAGTTTGGTGTCACACTGCTTCCAGCTCCTAACAGCTGGCAGAGGTTCTGCCACAGTCATGGACTATTGAGTCCTATATAATAAAAGCCTAATATGCTAAGTATCTGGTTGTCCATTCAACCAATCAAAGCATAATATGCTAACGATATGCTAAGGCCTCTCAACTGCTTGCTATGATGTGCACTGACCATCGGGGGCAGATGCTCCAAAGGTAGGTTAGCTTGCTGCTGGGGTTCGGCTGATTGGGACTGATCGAGATGGACTGGACATGCCCTGAAGCCCTCCCACAGTCCTTCTCCCACTCTGCCTGGCCTGCACCCTCTCAAAATCCGGGACCTCTCAGGAAATATTGGAGAGGTGGTTTCAGCCTGATCCCACAGGCCAGGCCAAGGGACCCCACTGGTGCACAAATTCATGCATCGGGCCTCTAGTTTAATTATAAAGATGTTTTTAAGTTGCACTTCTAATCACCTAGTTCTTTCACTTACATAATTTACTGTAGTACAATAACGGCAGGTGACTCTCGGATGAATAGCATGAAATTACAGTCCATTCCTCCTTTTTCTTTCTTTTAAAGAAAAAGGGAAGCTTTTTTATTTTATTTTATTTTTTTTTTTTACCACCAATCTAGCTGTCATTAATTGTCTTGTCATAAGCTGAAGCTGTCTGGGCAACATGCAACTTTTACACTTTGCTTTCTTCAAAGAGCCTCAAAGACTCTGGCTAGTAGAGGAAGGAAAATAAACATTTTATTTGGGGGAAGAAAAAGTTATAACCACTTATTAAAAACTGAATAAGGGCCAAAACCGGTTTGGCTCAGTGATAGAGCGTCGGTCTGCGGACTGAAAGGTCCCGGGTTCGATTCGGGTCAGGGGCATGTACATTGGTTGCGGGCACATCCCCGGTAGGGGGTATGCAAGAGGCAGCTGGTCGATGTTTCTCTCTCATCGACGTTTCTAGCTCTCTATCTCTCTCCCTTCCTCTCTGCAAAAACTCAATAAAATAATTAAAAACAAAACAAAACTGAATAAGGTTTGTATATATAAATGTAGATCACCAAGACAAACCCCCCCCATAACTTGCCCTTTCAAAGACTTCTTCAATGAATAATAACATTACTAAGTATTTATATGTTTAATTTATCATATTTATCTAAAAGGACTATCCTTGTATCATGTGCAGTGAAAGATCACATGCAACTGAAAATAAATTCAAAGTAGCTAATTAAAAGTAGTTTATGAAAAATTTAATCCAATGGAACATATACCTTTGTGTTATCTTATTCAAAATTGTGCCATCCACTTTATCAGAACAGCAATTTATCAAAATATTGATATCAAAAAATGAAAAATGCAAATTTAAAGCAAGCAACAAAGTTAACCTTTTAATTATCTGTCTGAAATAAAAGTTCTGATCAGTAAGTTAGAGCAAATCATAATATTATGCTAAACCATTTAAACTTCAACTTAGAAATCTTAGGTTTGTGCGTTTAAATGTTGTTCGACAGGCAATGGTCTGTGGTGTAGATACGAGGTATGGCTATAAAGTAACTGAGACGGATCCCACACACGACACATGACAATCAGTCTCATTGCTTTATAATCACACCAGGTACAAACAGGGTTTTAGAACCAGTTCTGAGGCTCCCTCTTGAAGATCAGCTGGAAAGGAGCAGGGAAAGCTGGCAGGTAGCCAGCCAGGGGAAGCAAATCCATCCTCTCATTTACTCAAAGAACACTAAGTGGGCACCACCTAATTTCAACTGGAAAACTGTGCGGGAGAAGAAGTGTTTAATTATTTCAACCATCCATTCAACAATGTTTGCTGAGCACATACTATAATCAAGGCTTCTTTACTTTCACCTTTCAGAGAGAGTGAAAAATTACCTACTGTGGAAAAAAAAATATATATAGAAATAAAAAATATATATATACACACATGCACACACACACACACACACACACACACACACACACACACACACACGTGTCGTGTGTGGGATCCGTCTATATATTTATCTCTACCTCTGGTTCCTGGCACAGGGCTCCTAAGACCCTTGAAATTTCCTAAGCAATAAGCATTAGGAACATCCTGTATTGTGGCCTTTGACATTGGTTCCTGACACAGAACTCCTCAATCCCTTGGAATTTTCTGGGTGATAGGAGAGTCTTTTGTTGTAATGAGGCCTCTCCTGACAGCTCCTGGATAGCTTGAGGATAGGGCTGGTCACCAAGTAAAACCAAGCCACAATGAGACACCCAGAACTTCCACCCCATCCCCATCCTCAGGGGAGGGAGAGGGCCTGGACACTGACGTAATGATCCATGAGGCTAGGTGAGGAAGACGCCACACAAATCTCGGATTGGAGAGCTTCAGGGTTGGAGAACATGTGCAGGTGAAGAGAGGGTGGGTGTCAGAGAGCCTTTCTCATACCCTGTCCTCTGTAAGTGTTCATCTGGTTATCTGTCTGTAGCCTTTACAGGGGTGGGGAACCTTTTTACTGCCAAGGGCCACTTGGATATTTATAACATCATTTGCAGGCCATACAAAACTGCCAACTGAAAAATTAGCCAGCTGTCTTTGGTCAAACATTTAATTAACTCATCTCCAATGCCTTGGCAGGGCCAGGCTAAATGAGGGCCTTGTATGGCCCATGGGCCAGACGTTCCCACCCCTGCTTTTATATCCTTTAAAAGAAAACAGTAAATGTAAGTAAGTGTTTCTCCTAGAAAGGGGTTGTGGAAACCTCGATTTATGGCCAGTTGGTCAGAAGTATAGGCGACAATCTAGGACTTGTGAAGGTTTCTGAAGGTGTGTGTGCATGTAAGGGGCAGGGTCTTTTGGGACTGAGCCCCTAACCTGTAGGAGCTGATGCTAACTCCAGGTAGTGTCAGAATTCAACTGAATTATGGGACACTCAGCTGGTGTTGCTGAGATTGCTTGGTATAGAGAAAAACCCCTACACATGTGGTGACCAGAGTGTCAGAAGTGAAGTGCTCATGTGAGCAGGAAAGGAGACATATGCAGGAGTGTTTTCTCCTTCCACTTGCTCTTGATTATATAAAAACTCTATCCTCAAAGGGCAAATGAGACTCTTAAAGCAACTAGAGAGAGCGCCAGACTCGGGCAGTCTCTCATGATGTTACAGAGGAGGAGACCAAGTAGACTGATAGGAAAGGAAACTAAAACACCGCAGGTGAAGCAAAATGAAAATAATGTAGTAGATCACCAGAACACTAGTGAAGGCACTGGTTAATCATTTTAGGTTGTAAATCTCTTGAGAATCTGATAATACGGATCCCTCCGAGAAGAAAAGTATCCCCCCAACTATGGACCACCTCCTCATCCTTCACTCTTAAAGCCAGTCTGGCCTCAAGACCTTGCTTTAAGAATGTCTCAGGCACCTGATTTTAAAGATTTGCAAAAACACAGCAGGATGCAAAATAAATACCCAGAAATCAGTTGCATTTTATACACCAATAATGAACTATCAGAAAGGGAAACAAACAAAAAACACCAATCTCATTCACAATTGCTTCAAGAAGAATAAAATACCTAGAAATAAATTTAACCAAGGATGTAAAAGACTTGTACTTGGAAAATTACAGGACAATGAAGAAAGAAACTGAGGGAGATACACATAAATTGAAGCATATACTGTGTCCATGGATAGGAAGAATTAGCATCATCAAAATGTCCAGAAGACCCAAAGCAATCTACAGATTCGATGGAATTCCTATGAAGACAC